TTCACCTTACACCAGTTAATAAACACTGCTAACTTCACTTTACAGAAATGGCTCCCCTCTTCTCACCCCTACCCGTCCTTGTTCTTTACAAGGAGAGGTTTTTGTTATTTTTTAGGAATATTTATCTCAGCAGCAGAACCTCAGTGCCTTTGCCAGCAGCGTATCTGTGCTGATACCACGTGGTGCCTGGCTGATGCTGTGCAGTCGATTATGCAGTATCTGGGCAGAGAAGCAATCGCAGCACGTATGAACGTAACGTTAAAGCAATCACCTGATGCCTCAGCCCGATCCTTACCTCTGCTGCTAGTGGGGAAGCATCTCTAAAATGCAATCTCCTGCCTTTTTTTTTTTCATTCTCTGTCTCCTTCCCAGTTTTGTAGTAAAATACTTGCTTTTTGTTAGGCACAAATGCAGTCAGGCATATCGAAAGGAGGGGAACTGTTAATAACACTCTACTTCATGAATCAGGAGAGCTCTCATTTTTAGTGCACTGGTATTTAATACAGCAGTAGAAAGACAAGCACAATTATACACACTCATACACATTCCAAAGACAGGGCATGACTGTTTTCCTCTCCTTTAAAAGGGCAAGGAAAACAGGTTTACCATACCTGGACTAAAACCATCTCAATCTGGAACCTGTCATACCTTTTTAATTTACATCATAATGGGAAGTTCATAAAATCAATATTATATGAAGCATTTTCAGGATCACATTTACGTTTTTCATTCTGGAATTTGAAAAACTATTCCTCCTGCTGTTTGCATAGCACTGGTACCACAGCATTACACAATTTTGCTCGAGAGGGATGTGAAATACTAAAAAAGACAAAACACAAAACCTGAGTTTAATACCTGAGTTAATTCCTTTGCCTCCACTCTAACATTTAACACCCTATCTTCTGTTATTTATGCAGAACTCCTCTTACTCTCACGGTCAGAAACCTGAATTGTCAAGCTGCAAAGAAAAGGTTATCACTTCAATTCATTTGTGGGCAAATTGCTCAAACTTAGCTGTCAATCAACAGTCCACTCCAGCATCTGAGCTGATTTGTATCTGTCACGGGTGTTTGCTCGACAGATTCTCACAAGCAAACTGGAGCAGAGAAAATGTGTCTAATGATAACATCACGCCGACAACACGTTTTCTGCAGATCACATTTGCATTATGTGTTTACTGTTTGCAGAGCGTCTGGAAGACGTCAAATGAAAAGGAAGATATGTTTCTTTTTCTGTGCACATATTCCAACAAAAAAACTCCCGAACAACAACAACAAAAAAAAAAAAAAAAAAAAAAAAAAAAAAAAAAAAAAAAAAAAAAAAAAAAAAAAAAAAGAAAATCATGACTCCATAGGAAAGCACTTCAGATGAGGAAGCCTAGATATAACCTTTGCCTTTTCTTCCTGCTCCCTTTCTACGTATTCCATTTCTTTTCATCCTACTCCATTGCCTTTCTGTCCCCTGCTTTTTTAATTCCTATTATTCTGTTACTTTGGAAAAAATCAACTAAAGGAAGAGAAAAGCAGATGCACTCAGACTCTATTCCCATAGTTTCAGCTATTTTATGAATTTTGAATATGAATAGAGATTGAAACTAATCAACAGATGGTTGGAAACATGAATATTCATTAATTCTGAAATCCTGTATTATTTTGCCAGGTATTGTCTGGATGTAAAGAATATATGTGTAGTCTAATCTCCACTTTTGGAAAAGAAATCTAGCAGTCTCTTTAGCTGTCCCACGCCTGATGAAGTGGACATTTTGGACAATAAACTGTGGTACATGCATGTATCCTTTGAAAAGAAATAAACAAACAAACAAACAAACAAAAAGTAAAATCTGACAAATATCTTTATGAATCTCTAAGGCCCTCTGCATGAAAATCAGCCATCCCAAAATTTCAATTTGATGAGAGACAGGAATGAACTATTTTTAGTGTTACTATAAGCCAACTATTAGTTTTGATCTGCAACTCCAAAACCCAAAGAAAAGCTGAGGCATTCACAACAATGATCCAGTAAAGAAATGTGAAATTAAGTAGTTATGAATTCTATGATTTCCCTTAGGCAGACATTGATGTTTAGCAGCAATCTGTTGTATATAAGTAATAAGCTGCTGCCACCTTCTGAAAAAAGCTCAGCATGACTACAAATGCCATCTTTCTCACCATACACATTCTGAGCCAAGAAAACTGGGCAACAAAGCAAGTTCTCCTCCAGCATCAATTGAAAAAAAAAATCTGCTGCACTTAGAAATTCTTGCTCAAGAAGCTAATCAGAGAGTGGTATCAACACTTCCATGCAAAAATGTAAGCATGCCATCTTTATCCTAACTTAGGATAAGGATCCTACTAACTTTCAAACCAGTAAATGTGACACTAAAGGAAGACAATAGGACTGTGACCACCCTTTAGCCAAATCCTTCTTTATCTTTTAAATGCTCACCTGCTTGAACAAGAGTCTACTCTCCTTGGAGATATCTCCCAAGCACAGCTTCCTCACTATAAAGCATTAGAAAGTTATCATTTTTCTTTGTGTTTTCTGCAAGAACCTGCTACTTCAGTGTTCCACTTCTGAAAACCAGGGATCAACTTTCTGGTAGAACTGGATGCAACATGGATGATGGGATGAGCAACCCTCTGTGCCCTATAAATGGGCTCCCACTAACCAACGCTGGCTGTGTGTTCATGCAGAGCAGGGAGCTTCTGCTCAAACAGTGTAGTTCCAAATTTTTGATCATTCTGAGTAGGGATGACATGGTGCATTTTTTCCTCTGCCATCTTCAGTGTGCACCATGCTGGTGTGAGCTTTATTTTGGTTTATATTCTGGAGGCAAAAAAGACCAATCTGACAGATCGGTCCGCGTCTCACAAACGGGATGGGACCCTGACTGGTTGCAGACTTAGGATTTATTATCTGTCTGTGTCATACAAGCAAAAAGCAAGAGACACAGGAAAATAACAACATTCATGCAAATCCAGATCAGAGACAAGATGGTAGCTTATGCAAAGCCTTTCTCTACATATTCTTTGAACCAATAGCATAAAAGAAAAGGTGTAAAGTCATTATACTCTAACCAATAAGAAAAGGACCCACGTGGGTTTAACATTAACAAAAGGACTTCTATAAACCTCAAACAATACACAATAATTCATTATTTAAGATGGAAACTTTTTCTATCTTTGCAAAGCCTGTATCTAGAACTTCTCTCATCTTGAACTATCAATAAGTTCTTGTTCTTTATTGTTTTTTATGATAAATATAAATGTATTCACTTGGTTTTTAACTCTTATTTCCCATGAGAAGGTTTAGAAATTTCCCAGCCTTTCTTAGCTTTGTGTCTACTTTCTGAGGCCTTTTTCCACTTTCTAAAGTCTTTTACCTTTTTACATTCCTACAGTGTTGGAGGGTACAAAATCAGAGCAGCAGCAAACCAGTGTCATCTCTAGCAAATTAGTGCATCACAGTCAGTACCTCTGTTATGACTAGATTAATCACCTCTCCAACATATTCCTAAAAATAAAATTGTGGCATTTTAGCCTGATTTTCAAAGAAAATGAGGATTATACCATCTGACTGTCTAGCTTCTCCATCTTCCTGTAATCTTTGAATGTTTTGATCAGTTTCAACTAAAATTGACGGGAAATTGAAAGTGTCAAAAATACAATTTATAGAAATTTAGAAAGCCCAGAGCGCACATAGCCAGAAAAAATCAGTCTTCAACAGTTGCACTGCTGACAGGCCAACATGCTTCAATGAATCACTGAACTACAGTTCTGTGATTTGGGAGAGGAGGATCATAACACAAACTACAAGCTGCATGTGAATTTCCTGGGCAACACCCATGAAATCACTCCATGATAGCAGAATATTAAAGTGGATTTGTTTTGGAGGCAATTCTGAGTTATGCTGGGAACATGGCATAAAACAAGCCAAAAATATGAAGGAATACAAAGATGTCTTAAAACAATTCCAATATGGTGGTTTTTTGTTTGTTTTTTTTTTTTTGCTAATTATTCTAAACATCCTGACATAATGATATTTTTGAGGCAGCTATTAAGCTTTTTTCCAGTAATTAAAGAAATGAATGAGTCTGCTTGAAGATGCTTGGAAGAATGAACCAAATGAAAATGAAAACACAGAGCTATCACTTGACCTGTTACGACATCCCTTAGTACTCAGCTCAAAATCCATCACCACTTCTCTACATTTACAGGCAAGCTTATGTTTTTCAGTGCCCGTAGACAGGTCTCAATGTGCCATTCTAGCACTTTGAAGCTCCATGCATCTGACAAAAAATAACAAAGCAGCTGTTTTGAAGGATTGCTGATTTCCAGGGATAATAGTTAATAATTTGTGTTACAGAATCAACAATATTTTCATGATAAAACAGATGTTGTTGTGACAGATGCAAAACTGATTAATTTAATTGCAAGTATTTTTCTGAAACCCATTTAGCAAAGACTTCAAAAACTTGCATGGGGAGTTCTTCACCATTGTTTTGGGTGGTTAAGATCCTATCTGGGATTTTTTTTTTTTTTTTTTTTTTGCAGGTCAGGAGGCCACAGCTTTGCACATTATGTTTTTGATTACTGGCTTTCTTTTTTTGTAATTTCCAAACAGAAATGCCATGCCTGGGATGGAGTCTTCTGCAATTTCTTTTTTGTTCCCTCAGGTTCCAGTGACCCCTACCCAACCCCGTATGGAGTCATAGAACAGTCGAATCACAGAATTTTAAGGGCTTCCACAGAATGGAAGGGACCTTAAAGGTCATTTAATCCCAAACTCCCTGCCATGGGCAGGAACACCTTCAACTAGACTAGATTGTGCAAGGCCTTATCCAATCTGGCCTTGAACACTTTCAGGGTTGGGGCATCCACATCTTCTCTGGGCAACGTGTTCCAGTGCCTCACCACCCTCACAGCAAGAATTTCTTTCTAACATGAATCTTAAAATTACCCTCTTCCAGTTTGACCCCCTCGCTCCTGCTCCTATGACAGCGGCTCCTGAAGGAATGTCGCTGTGGGGGGCGGTCCCGGGGCGGGGCCCGCCGGAGCTGTTCGGGGCTGCGGGTGCTGAGCGCGGCCGCTCCGCCTGGTGCAGCCGGGCGGGGCCGGCGCCTCCCCGCGCCGCGCTCGCAGGGGGTGGGCGTGGAGACGCTGCTGGAGGAGTTCCGCCGGCAGCTGCAGCAGGAGGAGCCGGGACCGCCGGCGACAGCGGGCGGCGGAGGGGGCGGCGGGGAGCGGTGCGGCGGAAGCGGCGGCTTCTCGGCCAGGCCCGACTCCATCATCCGCACCAAGGACTCCATCGCGGCCGGCGCCACCTTCCTGCGGGCGCCCGGCGCCGTGTCGGGCTGGCGGCAGTGCCTGGACGCCTGCTGCGCCGAGCCGCGCTGCACGCTGGCCGTGGTGCAGGGGCCCGCCCGCCCGCGGGGCACGGCGGCCGAGCCGGGCTGCTACCTCTTCAACTGCACGCACCGCGGCCGGCCCGTCTGCCGCTTCGCCCCGCACCGCGGCTACAGCTCCTACAGCCGCCGGACCGCCGGCGGCGCCGCGCCGCCCACGGGTAAGCGGCTTGCGCGGCGGGAAGGGCCGCAGGGAGATGGCGGCGCTGGGGCGGCGGGGCCGCGGAGCCGCGGGGAGCGGGCGCCGTCCGTGCGGCTGCCCCGGCGCCGGGAGCCCGCTCCCGGGTCGTGGGGCGTCGCCGGTGGGAGGACGGGAGAGGAGAACGGGGCTGCGGCGTGCCGTTCGGCGGTGTTCCCTGGGCCGGGAGGGGCGGCCCGGCCGTGCCCGAGGGACCCTTACCAAGGTGTGTGAATACCTTAAGGGAAGGGGGTTCCAAGAGGATGCTTCCAGGCTCTCCTTGTTGTGCCTTGCGATAGGACAAGAGGAAAGAAACTGATGCAGAGGAAGATCCTGCTGAACATGAGGGAGAACTTCTTTACTGTGCGGGTATCACGCACTACAGCAGGTTGCCCAGAGAGGTTGTGGAGTCTTCCTCACCGGAGATACTCAAAAACCGTCTGGACTCAATCCTGTGCCGTGTGCTGTGGGACGACCCTGCTTGAGCAGGGAGGGCGGACCAGATGACCCACTGTGATCCCTTCTGACCTGACCGCTTCTGTGAGGGCTTTGGGGCTGTTTGGACTTGGGGAAACCCATTCCTCAACATCTCTGCCTCTGCAGAGCCCTTGGTGGGGCACTGTGCCAGCCAGCCAGTGGCTGGGAGCCAGCCAGTGGGATGTGCATGGCCCCACACTCCCTGGGGAACCAGAGAAGTCCCAGCTCCCCAGGAAGTGTGCATATTGGGCACCTTCAAAAGCATGAAGTGCTTTTTTCCCCAGCTATGCCATAACCTGGTGCATAGCCTGAGAGCTAGCACATGCTGGTCTTGGGGTGCTGTCCAAATGTCATTGCCTAAGACAGCTTCTTACTCACTTAAATCACGATTTTTCATGCTTAAGAACTCAAGAGCTATACTGAAGAAGACAAGGGTACCTCACCAGAAGTCCAGACACAGCATGGACATTCTCAACAAACACCTCTGGAAACTAGACCACATCAAAAGCAGCAGTTTGTTCAACTCTGAAGCATAGTTAAGAGCAATATTATCCAGAGCAAGCAGCTGTAGATGAAAACAAATCTGGATTTCTAAATTTGGAGTCTGTTTCCTAGCACCTGATTCAAAGAATTTGTTTGCCTTCCCCCACCTCCTGTTGTTAAACAGTCTCCTGTTAACTAATTTTGACTTAATTTCATTATCTCTGTGGACAATACTTTCCCAAATGTCATCTGCATCTTACTCAGCAATAGATCTCATCTGAAGTAGATTAGTCACTGTATGCAACAGGAAGAAAACCTGGTAAAAACAGTGTCCAGATGTGCCTGCTGTTACTGCTCTCTTGGGAGGGGAGATGTCAGGCTTGAGGTCCATTCAGTCCAGGGGCTCAGCTCAAGTTGTAGAGGCATTATGATTCCTAAATATTTTTTGCAAAGTGCATGGGCAGGTAGATTAGAGCTATAAGGAAGGATATTATGAAGTAGAGATGAGGCAAGCTTAACACCGAAGAAACCCAAGGTGTGATTTTGACATTTTGAACAGGAGGAGTATTAGTTCCACAGTATTATTTATGTAACAGCTTCGTGGTAGTTGTATTTCATAAGCCTGTATGCAGTTGCATGATAAAAGGCTTAAGATGAGATTTTGCATCAAGTCACACAGAATTAGGCTTCATTTTGAACTGCCTTAATTCTATTAAAACCTATTAGAAACTAATTTAGGGTGCAGTTATGGCACAATATAAATAATATATTGTACAAATGATGCTCTGTCTATTAGAAATCTTGAATTTCTTGAATTCGAGTTCTTGAATTCTGGAGTTCTTAAATGCTTTACCTTTTTAGCAGATTTTCTGACTACCAGCTCTGGACTTGCAAGGCAATTTCAGTTCCTAGTCTGCAAATTGCTCTGTGTCCTGTTGGTTTTATTTAAAAGTCTGCCTTGTGGGTGATGGTGGTATTGGAAACAGGGGATTATGATTTCTTAATGCAATTACACTGGAGCTGAAACAAAGCCACAAAGGAGAATGAACTTTTATTTAAACATCTGTCAGATATGACATAGACCAGGAGAGATAAAATTAAGATTGAATTATTTTGCTCTGATGTTTTGTTACCAGTGCATTCTTGAGTTACATTGAAAACAATTTGGACAACAGGATGATGAAGGCTCATTGTTTTTCCTTTCTGTCACCCCATGAATGACTTTAAGAAAATTAGGAAAGAACTTTTCATTTCAAGATTTTTTTCCATGAGGAGATGACATTTTAGCTGCTCCTTGTTTTGTTTTTTCTTTCAGACTGCTTTTTTCTTGAGTCTTCTGCTGTTTTCCTTCTGATACACGAAACCAACATTTACCCACAGAAGTGGTGCCCTCATAATTGCAAAATATTTCTGTGCATTTGGATACAGTGATCTCTAAGATCACTAGTGGTGAGCAATGGGAGGATTCAGCATCAAGGTAGACTAATACCAAACACATTCAGGAGTTGGCAGTGAAATAACCTTTCATAACAAAGCCTTCATTCAGAAAATTAGTTGGAAGCTTCATTACTGGCAGGACTAGTCTGTATAAAGGGTGGAGAGAGCAGAATAAATAAAAAGCAGGATGAAAAAAAAAACCTTTTTTGTTGGGTCCCAAAGAAAAAAGTGTTTCACCCCTTTTTCTAGAAAGCAGCCAGCTCCAGCATCTCAGAGTGTTGACCTGGTATTTCAGTTCCATACTGCTTATTTGCATTCAACTGAAATGCAAGTTGAAAGAAGAAGTTGAGATTAGTTTTTGCTGACCTGTGGCTTATAGTGCTTTATTCCCACAAGTGGTGGCTGCAAGTGGCTCCAGTGAATTTGTCTCCTTAGTTTTTTATGCTGACTTCTTATCCCTAGGATTTGGAGGTGTTTTGCTCTCTAAGAATCATGTGAAGAAAAAGCAAAGAAAACTTTGCTATGGAAAAAGAATCTTCAGCTCAATAGGCTGTCTCTTCCCATGCCATATGTCTCTATCAGGTCAAATTTTCCTTTTTGCCATTGATTTACTTTTCTGAAGATGATCTGGTGGCTTACAAGCAAAGGATGGTACCTCCATCTTTTGGGACTAGAGGTCTGTGTGGTCACTCACTCATCTTTAACAAAGGGCATGAATTTCTGTGACTGACTTACATGGTCCTTCCTTTGCAACTCATGCTGCTGGAGTATAAAGTTAGTCCAGGAAGAAAATATCCTCATTGCTTAGGGGAATTAGGGCTTGTTTCTGCTCCTGCAGGCCATTGATCAAGTAATTTAAACCAGACAGGTGACATAAAACTCCTCTCCAAGATAGAAGCCAAAGGCTGGGCTGTGCTGTTTGAGACCCAGGTCACTTTCTTTTTGACAGTTATTTGTAAAGTAAGTAACTGTGTGAAGTCTTTATGTAACTCATTTTTATAAAATAAAAATTGCTCTGGCACCATAATGATGGTGTTTATTAGCAATTAATTTTGAGGTTTTATTAACAATGAGTTTTGGGTTTTTTGCACCTAGATGGTTTTTTTAAACAAAGTTGCTTTTGAGAAGTGAGCGTATACAAATTAGGCAAAGCTGCCTTTGTCATCGGATGAGTAAGAAACATTTCATTCTGTTATTATAGAAAGTAGTTATTGTATGTTTTCCTAACTTTATACAATTACCTTGACATTTTCTATTTCTGACCTACTGCTGAAAAAAACAAGAAATAAGAATTTTGCAGTTTAGTCATAGATGAACAGTTGTCCCACTGCTCCCATGAGCTCCAAGGCTTCATGCATTTGATGATACTGTTGAAGAGCATGTGCAAGGAAGATTCCCCATGCTGATGGGGACCTTTCCTTGTGCAGCTCTTCCCACACCAAGTTCAGTTACAACCTTGATTTCAGTAACTGCTCTTCTGAGCATAACATCAATATCCTTTCCAGGGTATCCTTTGCAGGGGTTGAAGAGCAGAGAGCACCCTGGCACTTCAGGGTGCCCAGAGAAGGAATGACACTTGGGTGGGGAATGGTAGAAAGATACAATCTTTGGGTTAGACTTTTGTTAGTCTAACCCAAAAGCTTGTGGTCTGATTGGCAAAAGTACTTACTACACACAGTTTTAATCGGTAAAGATTGTACTTTGAATATAAATAAATATTCTGAAAATTGAGCTTTCAATATCTTAAATGAGGCACTTAAAATTGGTGGTGTCTGATGAATTTTAATCATGTGCACTGCTTCATCAGTGTGCCCCCTTATGCTAAGTCTGACATTCCTATAATGATGTATTATAAATAGGGAGTAGAAGCCTATTGAATTAAGCAGAGTACTATAAAAGGTATAAAAAAAGTGATGTAACTGCCATCTGTATGTAAGTCATATTTAAACCTATTTTCCTTAGTTCAGATTTAAAAAGTACACTGATGCTAATAATCCTGTTTGCTGTATTGCTGAAACATCCAGGTACCTAGAGGGGTTTTCTATGCCATGTGCTTCTAATGTTAATTCCTGGAGACATCGTAGGACAGTTAACTAAAATAGAAGCACATACTACTTTGCCTAACAAAGTGTGTGCAAATGAACATGTTCCTCTTTCAGAAAGTTGCACAGAGGTGAAACAATACCTTAACCAAGAAAGAAAAGTGTTTTATATAAATAATCACTCAGCCTCCCCTCATAAATAACTGATCTTCTCTTCTTTTTGTTGAAGAAGAAGACTACGATGAGCCTCCACAGTGTAGGGCGGGCCAAGACATTGTGCTGCAGTCACCTGTGGACTGGGTGCTTTTGGATGGCCGGGAAAGCTCCGATGACCATGGAATTGTGCACTATGAGTGGGCGTTGCTGCAGGGTGACTCATCGATTGAAATGCAGGTACATGTGCAGCCCCCCTTGTGGCCAGTTACTTCCAGATTGTTGTGTATTGATGCAGGACCACCCCCAGCCAGGGAATAACGTGCAATGACTCCATGATTTAGAAGACAATTGCTTTATTAAGCTATACTATATTATACTATACTATCCTAAAACTATACTATACTACTACTAAAGAAAAACCCATGACCCCTTACCAGACAGTCACGGTACAGTTTTTACCTAATTGGTCAATCAATGCAAACAGCCATCACTGGAGTCCAATTAAGAAATCATTCTTCAGTAAACAATCTCCATAACACATTCCACTTGTGCCAAACAACAGGTGCAGCAAGTCGAGACAAGAATTGTTTTTTTTCTTTCTCTGAGCTTTCTCACTGCCTTGCCCAGGAAAAATCTTGGGAGGGAGAATTATGTCTCTCTCTGTTCAAAGAATGTCAATACCACAGTTGTTTTCAAGTTTTAAATGTACAGCTAAAAACATTTAATATATACAACTCTGTCTGCCAGGCACCAAAATTAGGATGTCTTTACCTGAACATTTATTTCACAGAAATATAGAGCAGCCCAGGTTGGAAGGGACCTCAAAAGATCATCTGGTCCAACTGTTTGTGGGACAAGGAGCCTCAATGAGATTATTTTATCTGTCCAATCCCATCCTGAAGACCTCCAATCAAAGAGACTACACTGTATCCCTGGGTAGTTCCAGTGATTATTTCTAGTGGCTTACACAGTTAATCCCTTTCCTGGATGGCATGGGACAGCTAGCAGCAAAAAAGCAGATAATAATACTCCACTGGATTTGAGCTCTGCTTTATTTGTACTCGCTGCACTTGATTTTCAGCTTCTGTCACCCCAGTTAGAGACCCCTCAGTAATTCAGTTACTAAAAATAATAAGGGATTTTCACCACCAGTCTCCTGTCAGTGCTTATGGAGAAGCTACAAAGAAACATGATGAAAACATTATGACATATTTTATCTGTACATTTTCTGTTGCGCTTTGATTTCAAATTAAAATGAAGAGAGCAATTCTTCATTTTAGTCTTTTTTGTGAATGCTGTAGGATCAGCAGAAAAAGAAAAAATATCTCAAGTCCACTGACCTTACTCATAGTCTGCTCACAGCCTACAACATCCAGGGCACACTGGGAACTCCACCTAGAGCAGGAAGGATATGTAGAGGTGAGAGAGTGCAAAGCAAAATGGAACTTTAAGAGTAATTGCTATATATCATCTAGATAAAAGGAACACTTTATAATCAAAGACTTGTTAACTGGACCCATTGCAGCATTATTTTATTAAAAGAGCATTTAAATACTTTTAAAATTAATCTGTGATTTAGTAACATAGAGTAAAACAAAAATTAGAATTTAATAAAAACATTCAAAGTTTATATTTTAATATTACTCAAAGTCACTTTATAAAATAGAGACAAGTCTTATATCCATTCAAACTTGTAAAATTCACATTAACCTTGGTGGTTTTTTTGTATTTGTTAACAGAAAATGAATTTGACACACATTTATGCTTAAATAAATACTTTTTCATTGTGTTCAAATGAGCAGGGATTTCTCCTACAGATATGTAACCTGGTGATTAACCATGATAATTTAAATTTTAGAGTTGAATTAATAGCTGTGATTTTTTTATGCATTCTTCAGTTGATGTCTTTAGTGCTTTGGTTACTGCCCTGAAGTTACTGGATTTCATGTCATTTATTCTTTGAGAATAATGTATGAATCCATAGCTACAAGGGAGAATGGGAGTGTGTTTGAATAAGATAAAAGGCAGCTGTTGCATTGCTTTTATGTAGCAAAGAATAAATAGAAAGCAGAGGAGGGGGAAGGACTGCTATAAAGAGATCTTATCATATTATCATTTTATTTTATCATAAAACCTTTTTTTTTTTCACGTTGTGGCTGATTATTGCTTTTTTAGGTAATTTGCTTCTCTGATTGCTACACCCACTGTGTAACTGCACAGCCCTGGACACTTGGGGACAGTAATGGGTTGGGTTTTTTTTGTTTTTTTTTTAATTGCTGAATATCTATTTTGAGCCAAAGTTTCTGTGTAAGCAGCTACAGGCCAGCATTCTTCAGGGCAGCATGAAAATAAAAAGGAAAGCACAGAGGTTACCAGGAGGAGTGGTGGCGTATTGAGAAGTCAGTGGCATTTCTCTGTCTCTGCACTGGGAAGAGACTTGGGCTCCATGGCTCATGAGTTTTAAATACCACATTTGCTCTCCCAACAGTGAACAACAGCAGGTGTTTTTTAGAGCATAATAATTTCTTTAACTCATTAAAGAATAAAATTGTAAGGGGTCATGCACTCCATCAGGAGGTACTCAACAGTCTGATCAGATAACTGAGTGCATTCATGTAAATAGAAAAGGAAAGAAATTTCAGATAGGAAATGTTCTCACTGAGAGAAAAAATGTGTTTATCAATACACTCTTCTATAATGGAAAGTCTAGGACTCTGGCCATATTAATCAAAAATTCTTGTTCTCTTTCAGGCATGAAAATTTATTTCTATGGATCTGTGTTATATTGTCTACAGACTAACTTGATAAAGAGCAAAAGGCCAATATTTTACTGTCTATCCTCTAAAATTACATTTCTAATTACTCAAAAATTGATTTAAATATATGTGATCATTTGTTCTCCATTTGTGTGCTGAGATCCACAGCTCCACGTAACTGAGTAGATCATGAAAACACTACCTGAATATTGTGGGTTTTTTACAAATGGATGCAAAAATAAAAAAGAGATCAAATGTTACATGCTGAAATACATGCTTGAATAGACTGACTAGACTGCAGGAGGTATTTAATCTGCATGATGAGCACCTTATTCCTGGAAGGTCATGGATGGATCCATTGTGTCAATGTTTTTTTTACTGTGTGCCTTCACTCAGGTACCGCAGCCAGGAACGCTGAAACTGTCCCACATTCAGGAGGGCGGGTATATTTTCCAGCTCACTGTGACAGACACTGCAGGTCAGCGGAGCTCTGACAACGTCTCTGTGACCATTCTGCCCATGGTTCATTCTGCAGCAGGTGAGAAAATGGCTGGAGCTGTTGCCTCTGTGACACCCAGGGTATGGTACTAGAGCACAGCAAGGGTCTTGATAAAGGTAAAAATGTTCTTCATTTTCAGTGTTTTATTTTGCCCTTGCTCATTACATAATGACATCTCTTTCAGCTTTGAATTGCTCTTTCAAAATGAGGAAACAAGCAAGCATCACTTGCCTGTTAGAGCAGTAATACTTTCAGGCACTGAGTATTTGTCCTTCTGTTGCTAATAAGCATGCAGGGTTGGAAGAGTGAAATATTGACACAGGTGTCAGGTGCGTTGTAACAGTCAGATGGTGTGGGCATCAGGACAGGGCTTCTGCTATAGGGAAGATCCAGTTTAAATTACTTAATAGTATGTTTGAGGCAGACTAAGAATAATACTGACCTGCATTTGTAGTCTGAAAGTTGACATGGTTTTTTGTTTTAATGCATTTAATTTTTTCTTTCTGATGGTTGTTATTGAAGCCTTATGCTACTGGGGAAGCTGAAACTGGAACTGACCCATCATTTTTAAACTCTGAGCTTCAGAAACATGTGAAAAGCATAAAAGGTAGAAAGTAAGTTAGATTTCAGCGGCTGTCAGTCCCACTCTTCAATGTAATAACTTCTAATTACATTGTAATTAACAAGTTGCTAGTGCAGATCTGCTGCTCTGGCACAAAGTTAAATAGCTTTAACCATGTTTAGCAGAACCAGTGAAAATCTTTCCCTGCCTCAGCGCAGTATCTGTATGTGAGAGGGTAGTCCCTTGGCAATAAGCTGTTATTAAGAAAATATCTGCTTAATAATGCCTTTGTTCCAGTAATGGATGACAGAGTTGTGTTCATTAATATTTAATTCAGCTAAAGCAGCCAGAGAGGTTTGCTGCTTTGTTTATTTGCTGGTGTGGGTATCTGGGGTATCTTTTGTGTGGAGCACATAGGGGATTTGCTGTCTTTTTTATTTTTCTAATTCCCCAGCTGCATTAGCAATTCTAGTGCTACTGCTGTAGCTAAACCAGTTCTTGATACCTTAATACATGCAAGATCAGTGCTATTACTAGTGCTGAAGTTTGGGAGATGCATTTTCAGATTTTAGGGGTTTTAAACAGTTGTCTGCTTTCCTGGCATCCTTCCCTTAGCGTCGTGCATCGTTTGGTACACAGCAGGATAACAACCAAAGGCTGTGCTCCCTTATGCAAATTGATTTGCTCTTACAACACTAATCAAGCACTGAACTTGATAGTGCTTCACAAAGTGTTGAACTGCACTGCTGTTGGAAAGACAAAAGCACAGATGTAAACACTTGGCAATTACAGAATCTGAATGGGTTTCAGGAAAGCTTTGAGTATGCAGAATGGGATGTCCAGGGATACTCTCCATTTCCAAGGGAATCTAAATTTTAAAGCAGGCAGCAGTCAGTTCTTTCTGGTGAAAGTAATTAGTGAGAACATGACCTAGTTCTATTTTGGTCTGTGCTGTATTGAAGTCACTGGATTGCTGATGTCAATAAATGACGAGCATTCTTTGAGTATTTCAATTATGTTGCAGAAAACATGCCATAAAAGATCCCATATGGTCCAAATGTGTGCATGTAAAGCACACATGTAAATGGATATTTAGTAGGAATTACTACTAAAGGGAGGAGGGATGCAGTTACAGCCACAGAGATTTCATTTCTTTATTTTCAGGACTGTTCTGCATCTTTTAAGCTTAGGAAGATCTCCTTTCAGCTTAGGCCAGCAGAATTCAAAGCACTGTAAGGGTGCTGCACAAGGTGTAAGGTGCAACAGCCTCCAGGTTGAGTATTCCTGTAATAAAGAGATTACCAGGCTAGTGATGAAGGTGCCAGGAACAGCTATTGCCTATATTTGTTTCTGAGTCAATACGATGTCACACAGCTGAGTCTGGACTTTGTGCCTTGTTCATGGTGCTTCTTGACATAGCTTGGTTTTGCTTTTTCCTCCATGCTGCAGATTTTAGTCATTGACTCAGTCACTGACTCAGTATTTACTACTTGGACGTCTCTTTTGATAATTTGGGAATTGTTTCTCAACAGCCTGTGTTGGGGTTTGCTCTCGCTACCAGTTTATCTGTGACGATGGCTGCTGCATTGACATCACATTTGCGTGTGATGGTGTGAGACAGTGTCCTGATGGATCAGACGAGACTTTCTGCCAGAATCGTAAGTGTGCCATGTCTCCGTCTCTCTCGGTGCCTCCCAGTGAACCCCGGGCAGCCCCGGGTCAGCAGACAATGGGGGGAGCAGCCCCAAAGTGGCCAACAGCGGGGGGAGGGGCGGGGGGGAACACTCTCTGGTGCCCCGTGGGTACTGATGGCAGCCAGGCTGGTTGCCTTAGTTGCCTTTGCAGCAGAGGAGACACTGGAGACATCGGTGGAGGATAAAAGGCTGGCTCTCAGCAGGGGGCCAGTCCAAGGTTTATTCAGAGCTCCTCAGGGGGCCCCACACCTCAGTGATGCGCCTTGCTCAAGGTGCGCAGGACCACTGCCAAGGGTACATTTAAAGGGGGGGAGGAAACCAAAGGTAGATGCATTTGCTGACCAGTAAAGGCCCTCCAGGGATGCAGTCTTAGGGATGGACATTTGGGATAGCGTATAAAATGTTACTTGGGGGGCTGACCCCTGGCCTCGGACTAATCACTCGACAACTTAGACCAAAAGTTCTAGATAGAGAACATGGGATGCTGAGTGACTGACAGAGAGCCAGGGCGGGGATTTGGGGATGATCTCAACACAGGAGAATGATTACACAGGCAGAGGGAGGGGGTACAATCAGGGGTAAACCATTTGGGGATACATAAGGGAAACCATTTGGGAAAAATAAGGGGATACAAAAACAAAGCTATTACAAAGTATTACAAAATATAAAAGCACACTACAACAGTGCCAGGCCACAGTGGCACAGGAGACTGTGAAAGTAACCACAGCCTCAATGATCAAAGGGGGACAATGCCACTTCTGTGGCCTCTCTCCCTGTAAGCAAGCAGTTTGCTCCCAGCCTTTCATTGGAATTAGCACATGGGAAGGTTTAATATTTGCTTACTCAGGTGCTCATAAATTTTCTTCAAAGCATATTAAAACTGTCAAGGTTTTGACACCCAAGTGACAGGTTTTGTGTTCACCAGTTAGAAGATCAGTTTTGTACTTGCATGGTGATTCTGGAAACAAGAACTGTGCTCTCTGTGTGAAAGGGTGTCTCAGAGGTACCCTTCACTGTGCTGTTAGACACCTTGCAAGAATCTGAAACACTGTGGACTCGCAAGGGAACCAGTTGATTCACCATTGTATTTGCTTTCGTTATTTGCCCATGCTCAGCTAAGTGAGCAATAACCACCAAAGGATGAATGGGCACAATGGCTAACCACTCTTTCATTATAGTTTAGTTGCTGGATTTTACTGTAGGAGTCATGAGTGTACTCTTGAGAGCAAGGGTTAGGTATCTGTGACTCACATTTCATCATATGTCTGAACCTGAGGAAGTTGTTTACTCTGCCTCAAGAACCATCTTGGACAGTCTTCCTTAAGAGCACTTCCATTCCCTTGTTGTACAAACATTTTTTTTGTACAACAAAAACATTGTACGAAAAATTTTGTTTCTGTTAACAGTGAGCTCGGGTCGGAAGACGGTGACACACGCAGCTCTTGGCACTACCCAGCAAAGGACTGCAGGACTGACTGAAAACACAGAGGAAAACTCTGCAGTGAACACCCTGAAAGCCACTGCCAGAAATCAACCACTTCTCTCAGTGGATGCAGACATGTCTAACCAATCGCTTTCTCAGGGACCAAAGAAACAAATCAGTGGATTTGTGCCAGGTAAGAATTTAATAATTTTCAATAAATCCTTCTCCTCAAAGAAAGGAAGCGTCTTGTACCTTAAATTTAATTTGTCTTTTGGTGCCTGGCTAAGATAAAAAATTTCATATGTAAATAAATACAAAAGAAATGTGTAAGAATGAAGTTCTAAGTAAGTTTTGATTTATTACTGTTAAATCTATTTTATAGTAGGTGCAAAAAGAAAGTTGAAATGTAGGAATGCTAGGGAAATAATACAGTCTAAGGAACAAAATGTGCAGTGAACTAGATAAATATTCTGCCACGGGTACAGCTGTGTAGGTTGATGTATTAAGGCTCTTTAAATCTGTAGGGGAGTACTTCAGGAGCACATAATAAAGTGCTGTTCAACTTGGGTGAGAGTAATTGCTTTTCTCCTGGTGCTAAGTATTACTTCCCTTTTTTTTTTCTTTTCTTTTTTTTTCTTTTTTTTTCCTGAGCTTCATCTCCAGGGCAGGAGCAGTCTTTCCTCATAGTAGAAAAGTCTCGGGCTTTGGTAACAAGCTACCTCAGGTGCCCCTGTACAGGTCCCCAGTATTGTTCTGCACAGTGGCTGCAAGCCTGTAGTGAGTCATTGTGTGATGTTACAGGCAGAGCCCCAGCCCTGGCCTTGGTAAAGCTCCAGAAGCTGCAGTGAAATTGATGTGTCTTTTAAGGTTCATGCTAATGAATTAAAATGATCTGAAATGGCAATTACATGAAAGCAAAACTGTGTGCATAGAGCCTAGAATTAGTACAGTATAAACCCCCCACTTCTATTTCTTCATGGTTTAGACTGATTCATGTGCCCCAAGACACAGCTTTATTTTCCAGTTGTAACAGAGCAGTGCTCAGTGCCCTCTGCTGTCGACTCTGGAAAAGGGCACTGCCCTGGCTGGCACCTGGACGTTCCCTTCAAGGTGCTTTTACTTCATCACTGGAGTGCAGAAGGAGTGAAAACTCTGCAAAGGGAACACTCTGTGAACACTCTGCAAAGGGAGTGAAAACAATGTTGTCAAGAATTTGATGGCCTCAGTGAATTTGTGGGGAGTGATAGCAAAATCCTGTCCCAAAACTCTTCCCCTTTTCTGGCAGTATAGATGACCTCTAGATGACGCCTCACTGCTGCCTAAAATTCTGAAGTCTGCTTCAAACCCTTCTCACTCACATAGTCTTGAGTGACACCTGATATGGGGCCACCCAAACTGAACATCAAACTTCCAAAGGACTTTGCAAGCTCCAGTGGGAAGTCAGCTGCTAAGTAGGTCTCAAAAATCATTTGGCTTGTGAATCCAGGCATAAAACCAGAACTGAGGCCACTACCTTCAGCAATTGATAGCCAAGGGTTATAACTGGAAGTACAATGCAGAAGCATTTTTGCATAATCATTTTCTGTGTTTACCAATTGCACAGTAACTTACTTGCACCAGTTTTGCTCTAAAGGTAGCCTTTTGCACAGCAGTAGACAAGCAAAGAAAAAGATGCTTAGAAAACTAAAGAAGTGTGATGGGGCATCAGTGATTAGTGTACTACCAGTACCTGTTGTGATCTTCTGATTTTCAACAGGCAAGATTTCAAGCTGTTTTAATTCTTGTGGGTTGGTTTAATATTTTTCTTATGACAGGGCTCAGTCAAAATTTAATTTTAGATGCTTAATTATTTCCCTGTGGAATAAAAGGATCCAGTCTTTACTGACCCAGGAGCCCTATACTTCTAACCAAAAAAGCAGCAAACAGCTCAGCGAGGTTTAAAATTGCTTATGGATTGATTCCAGTTAGGGTGCATGGGGTGGGACGTGAAGAGGTGCTGAGTACGTGCTAGGTACGTGGGTCTGAAGGGCAGAAACTGCCAAAAACTGCTGTGCCAAAACCTGCTCTGAGCTGCTGTCTTCTCCTGCAGACACTGAAAATTCAGAGTCCCATGCTGTGTATTAATGATTCACAGAAGTCCAGAGAGGCCCAAGTCCTGCCCCACTGGGAAACACCACAGTCTTTATGGAGCTGGAGAGACAGGCATCTAATCTATTTGTTAAAATCCACCCAGATCCATTAATTAGACTTCCCTCCACCACTGCCATCTCAGGGAGGTTACAGACCAAATCTAATAATTATGTGATACAAAAATGAGAGGCATAGAAATGTTGGAGCAGCTCCGTGAAGCTCATCTGGAAATGTGTCCAGGAGGGAAATAATGTTATATGCATATTTGAGAAGAGATGAGCAGTGCTGAACAGAAATCATACCAGCAGCCTCAAAAGTTCAGCAATTCAACTGACAGAAATCCTGTTCTGGGAGGGATTGTCTCCTGCTGCTGATGCCAAGGTAGAAGCTCTGCCTCTGAATCACTGTAAAGGTCTTTGTTGGACCGAGGCAATCATGTTCTTGTTGGCCTGAAGCTGACATTGCAAACATCCTGGCTTCTTATATACTATTTTACATAAGTTTTGAAAATAGCTTTAGTGGTTTTAATGTCACTATGGTGAAAAGCTGTCTACTTAAGATACATATTAGGGGATATGGCTTTACAGAGGCAGCCCAGGTTCCGGCTTTTCACTTGCAAGTGCTCCGTTCAGGGCCACATTTTTCTTAATTCTCAGCTGACAGTTTCAGATCATCATGGAAATACAATCCAGGAAGGAAAATGTGATGCTCTTAAATCAGGTGACTGCAGGCAGAGTAAGTGAAGGTTTTACCTACTGGAGACAGCATGTGGCACATTCCAGTTTGCTGCTAGACTCTATGCGTGATACAGGAGCTTTCTGTTGATTTTAAACGGGAGAAATTTTACCTGAGACACTGTAGGACTTGGGAGTTCCTTTGTTTTGTTTTTGACATTTGTTTATTTTTTTAGTAGTGGCTAAAGTACCAATAAAGGCCTGTCCCTTCTGCTACTTACCTCTCCATAAACAACTTTCATCTCTGAGAATTCAATAAAGATGTCGAATAAAGGGACTTCCTTGTCAAGTACGACCAAATTAATCTTTTCTCCTTTTCTCCAAAGGAGCTGGGCTAAGTTGTAATGTTTTGGACTGTGAGATAGTTCTGGGTAGCAGATATATAAGCTTTCTACCTATGAGGGTGACACTTAAGGGAACTTCTTTCTAGAATCCATTTTCTCTTAATAGATTCTCTGTTCCAAATTTCCTTTAACCTTCCTTACAGTAGCCCTTCATGCTTAGCTCTGACTTGATACAAGCTTTTTAAGGATTTACACTGAAGTATGAAAATATGCAAGTCCAAGTTAAGGACTGTTTAAAACTTCTGCCTGACCTAACGGCATCTGTTTAAAGTAAAGTGAAACAGACCACAACCAACCAACACAAAACCCAAAAATCATTGATTGTTTACAGTGGGTAAATCTTGTTCTGCATTCCTGCCTTTTCAATGGGATTCCTCTACAGCAGGGCAAGTCCAGGGGAACACCAAGTCTGACTCTGAGATGACCCCCTCAAGCACTTAGGGCACCGAGTCTTCTGCAACAGACTCATGGTCTACTTTTACCCAAGCTGAAAGGGCAAACATTTTCTTTCAAAGTCGAGAGTAGATGGAGGAAGAGGCATTTGATGTCAATGAAAGAGTCCTTTCTCTCTCTGCAGACATGTTTCCATGGTAGTAAAGTTACCCAGACTGCATCTCCTGCAAAGGCCAGCACAGCATTTCTGCATGGCTGCCTTCAAATAGCCCCAGTGTCCTTCTCCAGGGAAGTTCTTAAGTCTAGCTGCATATTCTGGCACTCCTGAACTTGCAGATAAATGTAGAAAACACACAGTAGCAGCACAGCACTCTGGAGTGAGCAGGGGGCTGGTTTCTAAGCAGCAGTGGCCAGTAGCAAATAGGGTCATGCAGACAGGTTGAATTCACGAGCAGCCTGAAGATTTGCACTCCCCAGCATAGCCAACCCAAGTGTATAAATCACTGTAACAGCTTTGCATTCCCCTGGCACAGAGCCTCTGCCTCTCCCAGGCTGCCCGTGCAGCGCTGTTCGGGGCTGGCATTACAGCATTTGACTGAGTGCCCAAGCCTTAGTCATGTTTTTACTGCAGAGGCACCCACAGCAGTAGCCGTAACCTAGATCTGTAATTTAGGGTAATTGGAAAGGGCTGTAAATGGTAATTTCCTCGGAGTAGACTGGAAAATCAAGAGAAAGTGAAAACCAAATTAAAGCCATGTAAAATACTTTATGCCAGGCTCCTAAATGTCTTTGGGGAAATTGCTCTTTGTGTTCTAGAGATAACAGATAAGATATTGAGCAGCATTGACTCTGATAGTCTCTCCAGTCATGTAAGAACAGCCACAAGTCCTAGCAAAATCCTACAAGCTTTATTGAAAGGATTCTATTCTTCTACCCTTCCAAAAATTTCCTACTAAACTTTTCTCCATATTTGCCAAATTTCTGTACAAGCAGTTGACTTAAATATTCCCTTTACTTAAATCTCAGGGAAACAAGTTTTTATAACAGGCATTTAAATGCAGGCTGGAGCAGCTCTTAAAAAGAGCTAATGACTTTTGGATATTTCCAAAATAAAGACAAATATTCATTTAGGAAAAACAGCTGCTGGTTTTGGTTTCAGTTACATTCAGGTGGTCCTGCACATCTCTGATACCATTTGGATATTTTAAGGCCAGTACATTCACTGTTAGGATTTTTTCAAGCCCACTTTACATGCCAGGACAACATCAGGAGCCCAGCGAGGACAGGGCCATGGCTTGTTTCTACAGCATTCCCTGTGGGTGAAGTCAGTATTTATGCACCACAGCCAAAAAGGCAGGGCAATAAAGCCACAGCCTGAGAGGCTGCCTTCTGCCTTGGAGTGGGAACATTAGCATGGACTTTCATGACAGTAGCAGTGAAACAATTTAAGCTTTAATTAGCAGTCGTGTGCATTTGCTGCTGCCACTACCAGGGACACCTTCTGCCGCTCTTCAGAGCTGCGGGAGGTGGGTGGGACTTACACACAGTGCATGTTCCAGGCTAATTGACTTAAACACTTCCTTAGCACCCACCACTACATGTAATTCCAATTACAACATTTCACATTCATATTCTACAGATCTTGTAGCATAGTGTGTTTCTGCTAGCTCTGTAACAGTTCTGAAGGCTGCCAGCAAATGTATCACAGCACAAAGTGCCCTTGCTTTTGGGTGAGATGCATTGTGGTTTGGGATGTAAAATTGAATTTAAATTTTAGCTTTAGTTTGACATTATTTCAAAAATTCAAGTTATACAGTCAAAGTCAGAAGTTCTTAAACTGTTCTTTTGTTTGTTTTCTTTCCATAAGTTGAAGCGCTTCACATTATTTAATATTAGTGTCCTGTGGATAAGATTTCCTGAGTCACTGAACTGCAGTATTTATTTATCTGGCTTGATTTTTTGCAGATAACAGTTCCTCAGGGAAAAGAACAGATGATAAAAATGGGGATGGCATAATGATGCCAAAGAGAGATCAGCTTGGAGGTGGTCGCCCAGTCCCAGAAACAGGTAAGACCAACCATGTGAATTATGAATTATGAAGTTTGAATTATGTCAGTTTTTCAGTCAGGTGCTATAGATACAGATAAAGTGGTCAAGAATTGAATAATGTACTTACATATTCTGAACTGTCCCTAACATGATCTTGCAGTTCAGTTTCATGGTATGAGTTGTTCCAATTACTGACATCTAAGTGGTAGACTAGCTGTATTTTTAAAGAAAAATTTCAGGTTTTCTCTACCAGCATCTCACTGTGTTAAATAAAATGTAATTTTTCTTAACCTCATTGTAGGTGCTGTGTTACCCTTAGCCTTAGGCTTGGCAATCACTGCTTTGCTGCTGCTTATGGTTGCTTGCAGACTGCGCTTAGTGAAACAGAAGCTCAAAAAAGCTCGACCCATTACATCTGAAGAGTCTGATTACCTCATCAATGGGATGTATCTCTAAAACCTGGATTTGGGTCAGTTGTTTTCTCCCCTTTCTCCTGTGTCCATGAATCTCTGCCTCTATAAAAGGACCAAAATCCTTAGTTTATTTTCAAGTTAGAAGCAGCCTATGAGATGAAGAACATACTCTTCCCCTTTGGTGATAATATAAAAAGTGGGTAGATGACCTTGGTCAGAAAATAAGAAACGCTCAGGCTCTGGAGAGTAGCGCTAGTTGGCTGTTGTGCAGAAGACACTGCAAGGTGGGGAGACCCCAAACTGGATGTGGGATGTTCTTGCCCTCCCCACAGCAGCTGGGGTCTCAGCCAGGGCTGAGTGCACCCCAGGGCCTGTGCACTGGAGCAGGCAAAGCTCCACAGCCCGGCTGTGTTGGCCAAGGTTGGGGGGGGAGCCTGTGCCATCTTGCTCTTCTCAGTGCTGCCACCACTGTGGGGACCAGGATGCTCCAGCCAACACGTTCCTTCACCATCCAGCAGAGACCAGTTGTGTTCTTTCCACCTGATGATGCACTGGGATTCTTTATTTCCATTAAAGAATGTGTCTTGCTTTGTTAATTAAAAGCAGTTGCTATCCAGGCACCAGCTTTTGCAAAGAAAATTGGGATTTAAGGAAGAAAGCATGTTATTTTCACTCGGTTTAAACCTCTGCCCTGCTAGCAGACAGCCATGCTTGCTAAATGCTGGAATGAAAAAATGCATCTCCTCAGCAGATGAGCTTGGACTTCCCAATGCTCAATAGCAGTCATGTACTGCTGCCTAAAGAAACTGTGGATGCCCCATCACTGGCAGTGTTCAAGGCCAGGCTGGATGGAGCCCTGAGCAACCTGGTCTAGTGGAAGGTGTCCCTGCCCATGGCAGCGGGGCTGGAGCTAAATGATCTTTAAGGTCCTTTCCAACCCAAACCCCTCTATGATTCCGTGTGCAATCCCAGAGCTGTGTCTCTCCCCGGAGCTCAGGGCTTGTTCAGCCTTGTCCACATCCAGCCCACCACCCTCACACAGTGTGAGAACAGCACACAGCAGTTTCTACCCGAGATGACAGAGTGTAGGATTCCTGCTGGTTATCCCATAGCTCTCTGCAAAGCTTGAAAGCTTCGGTGATCTGCCCTCACCCCAGAAAAATTCTCATAGAATTAGAGCAAGTAATTGATATGTGTGAGTGAACTGCAGATGTGTTACCAGTAAAATGTGTACAGTACATGTTATATATACTTATATATATACACACACACTGTGCTGTCTGTCTTGTTTGGCTGTCCCAAGGATGTCACATTCCTCATGGGTCTCAATAAAACCAGAGTCAAATGAGGCATGCATTGTTTTGTATGTCGTCTTTTGTACTTCAGTAACTTTGAGTCAGCAAGAATATTGCCATGGTATACAAATAGTTCTTCAAGTAATTTGTTCTTGATTACTTTATGTAAAATAGCTCTAATAAACCAATTCTATTCTTATATTTATTGCATTGTCTTTCGTTTCCATTGCCAGCTAAATTCTGTGCTACAAGACTGCATCATGAGAGGAGACAGAATTTCTCCTTTCTGTGAAACAGCCTTACAAGAAGCTGGAATGTGAATGGTGGGGGAAGTTGTTGAGATACTTGTTTTAGGGAGACAGAGAAGGACAGGGCATCTGCCTGTGTGACCTGTCTCTCGAGCAGTGCTTGAGCTGAGCAGGACAGCAGTTGTAGAGCTGGCTGTGCCAGCCACTCAGGGAATCTGGGTGCCAGTGCTCCTTGCTCGTGCCACATGAGACGAAGTCTGGTTGTTACAGTGTTACAGTGGAGACCATCTGCTGATGCTGCCCATTTCCAATTTGGGAGTATGGCCTCTCTTCCATCCCAGCCCCCAGAAGACATGGCAAACAGCACAAGACCCAAAAGGCCACATTTTAAATACAGCCTTCTAGGGAATACTCACTGCCCATTTAGTTGGGGTCTTATTTTCCATCATTGAAATTTGCATTGGATTTTAATAAAATACCTAAATGTCCTTCACCACCTTACCAAAACAGCAAGAAAAGTGGTCTTTTCTCTCTCTGCCCACCGTGCTCCTATTACCAAAATCCATTACCCTGGCACACAGCCAGCAGCAGAACAAAAGGTTTGGTTTTGTTCTGCCAGGCAGGACAACAGCAAGATCTGGCACAAAGCACAAGCCAGCCAGTGCAGCCATGGTGCAAGAGGCTGCTCAGCTTTCCAGTCACTCTGCCCAACAGCAGCCTTTGTTTCTGTGCTGCTGCTAGGGGAATAAACCTTCAGGGGTTTTGCATATGACAGATAGAATGAATGCCTGCAAGGAGAGAGCAGCAGACAGCAAGCAAGGTGCAGGAGTCTGGCTAGTGCTGCCTTAGAGTGGCCAATCTTCCCAGGGACTCTTTCTGGGACGGGAGATGGTGACAGTTGCTGCCCTGTGGGCCACCAGCTTGAGACCTGTTACTTCCCAGGTGACAGCTCCATGGCTGGAGCGAAATAAAATAGTTTTCATCTTACCAGAGAGCCTGGGGGCATTGTCAGCTGGATGGAGAGCAAGACAAAGTGGGCAAAGGAACAGATTGGCTTGGCAGCTCCTGCAATTAACACACACACTGGTCTCAATACCATGTGTTTGCATTTAATGGCTTTCATGCTATTTGATTTTTAAAAAGTCATACTGAACTACTCAGCTAGAGCACACCTGGGAATAACAGAAAATACTGTCAACATGCTCAGGATGCTTTTCCCTTTCTCCCCAGGCACCTCGCAGCCACTGCCTCCTGCTGACACCACTACGGTAGCCCCTCCCCAGCCGCTCCCAAGGCTGGGGCTCTCTTGCTTTTCCCTTTCTCCCCAGGCACCTCGCAGCCACTGCCTCCGCTGGGGCTCTCCCTCTGATGTCAAAGGAGTGCTCAGAGCAGGCAGTGCTTCCAGCCCATCTTCATGGCTGCAGTACTAAAACTGCATTCGTGGCCTCTCATGCAGACCCCAGAGCTGGGGAGTTTTACACTGTCACAGATCACAGAATATTCTGAGTCGAAAGGGACCTACGAGTGTTCATGCTGTAGCAGAAGTGAGACACACTGTGTGAAAGTCATTACTATTTGAAGTCTGTCAGATCCGTTTTTCCTGTCCTAAACACTGATGTTTGTCTATCCACATATCTGTGAATATGCTTATTCCACCTATGCTTACCAGCATTTTAGGTAAGCAGGGAATATTGACTACCCTGACTGCGTAGCCCTGTGGATGTTGCTCCTCTGTGTATTAGGAGAGGTCATTAAAATTTATTTTGTCACTGTATGTTAATGTTGATCAAGATTCTTATTTCACTTAGACTGTTTTTTTAAAACTGTTTTGCCCTTCAGACAGCTTAAGGATACAGATTACTTCAGAGTAGCAAACAATACAATACTTACCTAGGTTTGATCCATATTTAGAAGTAAGGAGGTTTTTTTCCATAATATAGGCTGCTTGCTGCCCACTTTTGCAGGGGATGTTAGCCTGAACATCTCACTGTAATCATTCTGTAGCACTATAAGATAATAGCAGGGGCAGTTCCAAGAGAACATTTGCAAAACAAAAAGGCTGAAATAGGTCAGTGTGATGCTCCATTGGCTTTTCAAATCCTAGATAAAGCGTAAGAGTTTCAATCCCAAACTGCACAGAGCCAGCCAGAGACACAAACCAATAGCAACACAAACACGCCACCCCAAAACAAAGGGAGAGCCTTTCTAGTAAGCCCTAACAGAATCCAGTCATGCATCACTGAGGTCTGTGCTGGCTGTTTTCATGTGCATCAGGAATTGGGATTTTCAGTTTCTAACGGCAAAAGCTAAAAGAGTAAGAGCAAAGGTAAAAGCTAGAGAAGATTCAGAGAGTGCTGACAGGCATAAAGACCAGAAAGAAGCAATAAACACACAATAATTAATATGAAAAAGAGCCCGTGACACAATTGGTCTGAGCTGAGTGACAGGGAATGCTGTAAACAAGGAATATTTAAAGGGAGAAAAAATTGTGTAAATGTAACTCTGCTCTATATTTTTCAAGTAATAGTTACTTAAAACAACTGAAAAAGTGAGCTGCACTCTGTGCTGGAGCCCTGAAACGCAAACAAAGAGAAATCTAGAATGACTGCATCAGCACACTTCAGCAACAAGTTTTTAAATACACCTGCTAGAATTTAATTTTTGCAGTTATAAGGCTCCTGGCTGACAGTTACGAGCCACTCATAAATCAATGAAAAGTGTATTTTGAGCAAGCTGGCAGAAACCAGACACAGCAGAAAGGTTCAGTGAATGAGTTAGAACTGGCATTTCCTTGGCCAACAAAAATGTATAATCCTGTTCTAAAGAGGGCAGAGCGAGACATTTTAACATAGTTCTTAAAACTACCAGATCCTATTGCATTAAAGAGATGCATTTAAGATTTCTACACTCAAACCAAATTACTGGACAAAACAGATATAGAGGGAGCAGGGAACTTGAATGAGTGCAGGACTGCCAAGGACTTGAAACCAAGCGGCCCAGTGGAAGATTGGGCCTATAGAGAAGGCATCCCTGAAGGCTAATTCCATGCCCAAGAGATGACTGTCCTGAGGCTGCCTCTATATCCAGAGGAAAGCAGCTTCTCTAGAGCTCTGATCAGAGCTGCAGCCTTGGCAGGTGCTCTGAATCACCCATTTTCCTAACCACAGGCCTTCCAGAGTGTCCTCCTAGTCCATAAGGCACCTGCAATAAAAGTTACTGATTTATCTAATGCCACTTCTCCACTATAGCTGAAAAAGGATTGGGCAGAACATAATAAACGAGACACATGGCCTGTTAATAGTGCAAACATGGCTGAAAAAAGGGCTTCAGCTTCTCAGAAGCATTAGGGAATGTTCTCAAGAGTATCTACCAGGTCAGTTGCTCAGAAGCATATGATGAAAATGGCTGGACTACAAAGAAACCTTAGAGAATCAAAGTGAGATCTCAGAGTAACTCCAACAACAGTCTTTATGAAGATAGTCTGTTGTTGCTAAAAAAGT